AAGTTTTTCTTCTTCAGAATCCAGACTTTGACCAGACTAGACAATGTACCATACCAAATAATTATTATGTTGAAATGGATTTTGTTGTACATATACTCATTAAACCCCTATATTTGTACTTAATTGGGCTTGATTTTCTATCTCTTAAGTTAGTCAGATTTTCAACTCAAGTTGCAGGAGAAGGCTTAGCAAAGTGCATTTCAGAAGTGTAAAATGCAATAGCTTCTCCTACGGATTTTGTATTTCCCCAAAACAAGTACAATATATATACTCATTAATTAAAGTGATATATACTCACTAATTAAATGTAACAGTGAAAGATTTTCTCATATATTGGTATTGAAATAAAGAGCACATTTTAGTATCATGGACACGCAGTTCACCTGTCAATTTGGTCATTTTCCGGGGGGTACGTTTATTCCGGAGGGTATGTTTATTAGACTTGAAGATTTGTCCAGGGGGTATGTTTATTCCGGGGGGTATGTTTATTAGGGACACGAGAGTAAGTTAAGTCAACATCTTGAGAAAACATGCTGTGACGGGTTTTAGATGGGATTTTAAACTTTAAGTTACAATGTATAAAAGTTAAACCGTTATTGTAGGTGCTGACATATATTCTGTACATAGTTTGCCGCATACATATATTCTGTATGTAGGATGACATTATTCATAACATTACATGTATATAGCTTTGTTGAATCTTTAGTTGTAGAAGACCATACAAAAGTCCCTGTACTTTTGTAGACTCAATAAAGAATCTATGACTACATCAGTAGTACTTATCACCATAAATTGTTTTACCTGCGTAGCAGCTCTGGTGTCTGTGCGGCGCTGTTTCCGTTTGGATTTCTGGCTCCGACGATCACAATATAGTCCAGAAGTCTGGGACAGAAGTGACTCCGGTCACCTCCTGCTAGACTCCCAGACATCTTTGGTTTACTCTCTTCTCACTGGAACACAAACAAGGAAGGTTTGAATTGCAGTCAAGCTTGACAAGAAAGAAAAGGTCTGTGCAGGGAGCTTTGAAAAACACCAACATGGCAACATGCTAACCCTGGAGAAATGAATGAAAATTAAATGATAGGCCCATATACCAACATGGCTTTAGTGTTCTTAGTCAGAATGATATTATTTCAACCACCCCCAATACTATGTGAATACTAAAAGTAGCATTTTTTTAGAAAAAGCTGATATGTAACAAGCCATTTGTCAAGTAAATTTGTATGATAAAGCCAAGGAAGGAAATTTGTTTATGCAAAAATTTGCACAATTTTATCAATAAAAATGTATGATGGCATGAATATCAAACAGGAATTTTCATATAACTGTGCACTGTGCAATAATCATAGAACACCCAGTAAAACATATTGAACTGGCAGCACTTATAATAACACTAAACATGATGATTATCATTGATTTCTAAGAGATGACTGACACTGTCGTCATACTCCCCACTGTCTGGTTTGAACAAACACAAATTTCAGTTTTGTTAACACTAACACTTAGTAACAGATGTTCCTTTTCATTTTTGTGTGCATTTGTACAATATCCACTGACAAAAGCATAAAAGAAATTGCCCTTCTCTGAAAGTCAGTCTTGATCATGCTTCGGTTCTCATGTATGTTATAAAATATACACTCTCTGCAAAGGTAACAAATCTGTTATCTCTCACCCCGTAACAGGAGCTAGCAAATCAATGAGATAGATGATCAGATCTGATATTAGTGGGGTACTCATAATTTCAACTGTAAAGAATTTGAGCACTATAATGAAAAAAAAATTGGACAATAAATTACCACCTGTTTTTATAGCAAAGGACAGATAAACTCTACATGTAGAATTTTACTAATAGCAAACAAATTATGTTATCTTGATTTTTTTTCCCGCCATCCTTACTACTCCCCCAACTAACACATGTTCACTCTTGGAAATACCCTGAGGCCACTCGTGACTGGTTTCACAAAAAACACCTACACATACCCATACATGTACATTGATTTGGGCCGATAAGCCATGTATATGTTATCAGCATTTAACTATATGGTCTCCATAAGTATAAAAAACTATGCAGTTATCTCATAGAGTCACATCACTGAAGGACAGGAAAAAATGGGATTCATAATAATGAGGTACGGCATTAGCAACACACCTGAAATTGTCTAACAACTGAAGCAACAATTTAGCAGTGAGGATCTAATTGCTCTAAGGTAGGGAATCTCAAAGGATATCATACATAATTTAAGTTGACACAAAACAATTGACAAAATGGGTACATATGCTATCATTTTTTCCACATCCACGGATCAGATTGGATGAGTAACCATAAACCATATGTAAACTATAAAGTTATGTTTATGCTGCACTACAAAATTATTATTACATTGTCAGGAAAACATCTTTAAAATATCGGACAACATCGATGCCAACTTGTCTACAGGACACACACACCCCTTTTCTGCACCAGAAGTATGCAGGAATGCTGGTAACATCCGGCAGAAAAACCGGTCCGGCATCGACGTTCTGCTGTGGAGCACGCAAATTGCAGAGCTAGAGGGACATCTAGCTAACACTTAATTTACATGACAGTCACTGTACCTTAAGGGTACGACATGCTAGGACTTCTTAGTACTACTGACAACGTTTCACAGCGACAGTTTTATAGGACGTCGTCCGGGTTCCTAATTTTAATACGTCGCGGCGGACGTCATCGCGTCACCTTGCGTCACCTTGTTCGATTCGCAGGACGGTTCATGAATCTTTGATGATGTCCTTCAGAGATCCTGCGACTCGGTCGGGCGCTTCCGCACTCCAAACACAATTTTTCCCTACGCAAACCGCTCTGTTTCCACTGAGCTAACAGCTAGGAACAATGCCCTCCTGCGTCACAGGGAAACCTGTTTCAATTTGTACCGCTGGAGGGTGACAGATTGGTCCGAGAAAATCCGCCAGCTCCGCGCGTTTTGCACGGCTACGTTTTTAAATGGCCGCCATTCTCAGCTCTCCTGTCGTCCCATGATTATCTTTTACCATCTTTCTTTAACCAGAATTACAACGATTCAAGCAAATGTGTCCGAAGGAAAAACGGCCTGACGCAGTCTGTGAGATTTTCCGCTTAATTGGGATGTCCAAACAGTTTCTGTTGATAGACAGGTCATGCAGACGATGCAGCGAAGGTGACACAAGCACGCAGAGCTCGCGAAATGGAAACCCGGATGCAATGCCCTTAACGTATCAAATTACCTTCTACGGACACCTGTTAAGCACCCGGCTCGACGAAACAGTGTCCACTTCTCATCCTTCCTTGCATAGGTAACGTTTGTTGCAGCGGGCGGCGCGCAGTAGCTTCGATTCCGTCTGGAAATAAATAATTCTCTCGATCACCCAAACCCTGACGGCGCCATCTTGCAGAGGTGTGTACCGATACATCCGGGACCTGCCACGGAACGTGCCACCTGAAATGACAAACGGGGGGTTACACCTGCTACCAAGGATATCATCTTACATGGTTTCTTTTCTCATTGATATCGCTCACAATCATACTTTTTGGCAACAAAATGTGCGAGTTAGGTAAAGATGGTTCTTTCTAATAGCTACTGTAGGAGTTACTGAATTTAGTCCATATAAGAAAGTGCCAGGGAACGGAAAAATGTGTTTAAAATAATGTACGATGATAACAAGAAGGTCTAAATTTGAAATTACAACCAACCTCTTTTTTAATCATCTTACGAATCAATGCTCGATACACTACAGTATATGAATCTGTCAGAATCTCTACATACAATTTATGTCGGTTTTGTGTTTGTTCAAGTTGTTTGTATTGTCATCCTATCTATTAGGGAGGTAGGTATCTGTTCACAATACGGTATATGTTTTAGTCCCAAAAAATCGCAATATTGTCATATATTATATAACGTTACAGTATGTAGTTCATTTTTACCTTTTGGGTGGTTTCACCCGTCCGTAGTTCTTAAAACGCCACACAATGTGTATGTACACATAATGTGTTTGTACACATTAAAAAGGCGTGTGACTGATAAATTATGTAGCCGCCGTAAGTGCGAAATGACTCAGGAGCGCAAATTTACTTACACCCAAAAGTACTCGGAAACCCACACAATAAAGGTTTTACGTCATACCGTCTAGCAGTTTACGTATGATGCTAAATTTAGCGTTAGACCTTCGCTAGATAAATATAACTAATGTTGTAAATGACAAATTAATGCCACCATATTAGTGAAATTTGTGTGGCGAACGTAACAGACGATGATGGCAACATCAACTTTTGTAAACACAAAATCTTCTAATGATTTGTCTGAATTTTTAAAAACATTTTAATGAGTTACGTTTCTATTGAAAACAGTGTTGACATACATCATACATATTTTACACAATACAAAAGAGAGAAATGACAAAGAACAATCATGTCATGAATTCGTATGCAGAGCCAAATCCGATACCAACCTAACTTGTTAGGTACTAGCTAAGATGCCATACGCTTCCCAATTGTTCCCGTAAGGAACGTCCCACGGGACCTTCTCAGTTATTGTGCACTTTCAAAACAAGCACTTCAACTTACAAGGTCAACACCTACTGTACGCTTGTGCGCCCCCGCCAAGGTGGAACCGGCTAAGTACTTCCCGCCATTGACGTCATCAACTCAGCGAGCTGTCTCTGGCACATGACCATGATAGACACGCATCTCTTTGTATTTTTGTTCTGCTGACTGTGCCGAAAAAAATAGATGCATATGCAAGCCGCATGGGCCATGGGCACAAGAGCAGATGTATTACGCTTCTAGCTATTCTCCAAGCAGAGGTTAGGGATTATTTTTTGGCGTGTTTTAGGCTTTTTTTATCGGGGTTTCTTTCTTGCACTGGAATTTTACCGGTTGGCGTAAAAACATTCCAGTGCAAAAAAGAAAACCCGTTAAAAACAGCCAAAAATAAGCCAAAACCCAAACCTCTGCTGGCAGAGTAGTCAATGCTGCATATATACATGAAGATCGCATCTTCCTAAGTCCAAGGCTTTTGGCAGCGGCGCCAGCCTAATTCTATTTGCGTGTTTTCCACAGTCCTGCAAGACATTCTGTCTCCTGTACTGAAGAGACTGCCACAGGTTCAAATCAACCGGATGAAATTATACCGAAAAAAAACAACAGAGAAAATCATTATTTTGCTTTCTTTAATCACAGACGTTGCAAAACTGTGCTGATCATATTATAAACAACACATTGCCCCTTCTTTGTTTACCAATCTACTTGTGTAGACTTGCTTTGAACGTTTCAGTCAAGGAAGCAAAGAGTCCATGCACGTCAATTCAAGGACACAGAATAAAATCAATACAAAGGCACTTAACGTAGCCCGTTCCGTGATACGGTTGGGCGCAACAACGCAGGCATATCTCTGCCGTACCTTGTCTCAACCAGACTAACAACGACGTGGTTAAAAAATAGTAGTCAAGTATAGGCAAATAGCTGGCCCGGGGATTTCAGCCACCATAAAGTTAATTTTCCCGCGTCATTAGGGAAAATGATATCCTTTACCTCCGTGAATAGTTTCATCTGGTTGGTAAGACACTAAGTTAAGAGACTCTTTTTACACGTACAACCAAGTCTTTTATATATTCAGCCGAAGTTTTGGTGACCGTCTGTCACCTTCCTCAGGGCAATTCTGACTGGTTCACATCGCATTGCAGCGCATGACAGACGGTCACCGAAACGTCAGCTGAATAAAAGACTTGGTTGTTTGAAAAGAGTCTCTTCATTCGATATCCTTTACCACGGCTCACTCCCCTGGCAAATCACTGGCCCTATTGCTACCGAATTCTACTATCCATATTATGTCGGACACGTCAGATCTAGGGCTAAGGCTATTTCATAATCTCCAGGTAGATCTTTTCGGGGGCAAGAAAACATAGAATTGGTCAGGCCGTATCCAGTCGGTCCACGATAGAGATCTGCATGAGATCAGTTATTTCATACGTAACAGCTTTTTTCCGACCCCATCAATCAATTAGAACAATCTCCCGTCTCCATCATGAGGTGTCTGATGGTTTAGTCAGGATGATGTACGACACAATTTCCCGCCGTGGGCACATTAATGATCCGTTCTATCTCCCATTGACGTCATCAGAGGCACATGACTGGCCTCCATTCACAAAGGAACGTCGGGAAATTGCGCAGTCAGAAACCGCCGCTCAGGCATGGAGAAAGAATTGCTGTGCTTCGCGTCCCGGCTAACCCTTCAACTTTCTTGGGCTGGCGAATGACATAGACTTTTAATCTGTTTAATCATTTTAATTTCAAACCATCAGAATTTTTTTAAATAAATCGTAAAAAGAAATACTTGTCTCTTCCTCACAAGCAAACAGACGGACGGGTCCTGATCCTGATGCAGTTCAGTTTTATGTTGTTAAAATGTTGCATCACTCAAAGAAGTTATATAACTTCCTTGCATCATTTCAGCCAAAATCGAAAGAGAAAGAGAGACAGAGACAGAGAGAGACAGAGACAGAGAGAGAGACCGGGACACAGAGACAGACAGACAGACAGAGACAGAGACAGAGAGACATAGAGAGACATAGAGAGACATAGAGAGACAGAGAGACTTAAACGGGAAACATCACATTATCTTTTCCAGGCCTAACGCATTCACTATCGATCCGTCTCCAGCCCGCAGTTGGTTCCTCACTGATCCGAACATCCCACGCGAACCGACTCTGTTAATCCCGCTCTCGTGACGTTTTTATCCCTCCCGTGATTTCCCAGAATAGAACGCGGGTGACGAGCACGTCGGCAGAACGTACTGCACCTTGGCGAGGCATGTAATGTATTGTGCATAGCACTTCAGCAGAACCTCTCATATACATTCTCCCACGGCAGAGCTATTCCGCGGCAAATACGTTAGTTAGCCTTGGGATTCGTACTAGTAAGGAAGCCTCCCCTGCCTTGGGATGATGCTCATATAAGGTCGTACACGCACATATAAGGTTAACGTCCTGTCTGTAGTTGCCCAATTCCCAAAAAACACATTGTTCAGCACCAGGGACTGGTCCCATATAGGCCTTCACTGCAAAATACCACCCCCGAATGTGATTTTTGGTGCCAGAGGAACTTTGGGGTCCAAACAACCATACATGTCCAGTATCAGGGTGAAATGGCAGAAGTTGTCAGAAGTTAACATCAGCTTACGTCATATGTAACTTCGTGCTTTTCCGTATTTTGACTCTCCTGTCGGCCTGCTATCGGACGCATCCGAAGTTGTCCGAAGTTATGTTATGACGTCATCCTAACTTTAGACAGTCTCCCAGGAGGTGGCAGAAGTTGTCGGAAGTTGTCCGAAGTTATGACGTCATCCTAACTTTAGACAGTCTCCCAGGAGGTGGCAGAAGTTGTCGGAAGTTGTCCGAAGTTATGACGTCATCCTAAGTTTAGACACTCTCCCGGAGTATCAGGGTGAATGGTATGAAGTTAAAATCAAGTCACGTCACACGGTAAGCGAAATAACTTGGTACGTAGGGCCGTGTGAGTGTACGAAGTTAGGAGTGTCGTGTTTTCACGACAGTTCACTTTGGGCACACGATGACACTATGGTGGATGTGGTTGGCGCTCCTGTTGAAATCAATCTTCTCGTAAAGAGTAAGCAAGCGCCGCACTAGTCCCAGATCACGAATATCTACTTGAAAATATATCCATTAACTTGTAACATGACTTCTACGCGCGAAAGGCACGTTTGAGATGTCAACATCTGGCGTCATTTACGTTGTAATTCGAACTGGCCGGTAATTCGAATGTGATTCTATAAGTGTGTCACTTGTAATTCGAACCGTGGAGTGTGTTCTAAACGGTGTCACTTGTAATTTAAAACATTTACCTGGCGGTTTGATCATAGTCGCTACTATCGGAGCGGACGTAAACTAACCAGCATAGTAGCCAGTCTATGGATCATCAAGGACAACGTGCGCAGACGTCGTCGGGTAAACTGAACCCAACAAATCTTCAGGTTAATGATAAAGTTACGTCAGTTTTTCATTATAATTATGGTCTTGGTGGCGATCGTCCCCACGTGATGATTGCAGACGCGTTAGGCACCCCACCAGGAATAAACAATAAACGCCTGACGACACCCAGATTACGAATTCCGAGAAAATATAAAATAATATAAAATAATATAAAAAAATATTAGTTCGTCTAACATGACTCCAGCAAAACCTACAACCTACAATACGTTAAATGCAACATTGAAAATGTTTATTAAATGTCAAAACTGGAACTTTTTTGCTTTCAATCATCTTCAACTTCAGACAACTTTGGACACCTGGAGTGTCGGAAGTTACAGTGACGTCACGTAACTTCAGACAACTTCAGACACCTGCCACCCTACCCCACAAGTGTCGGAAGTTACAGTGACGTCACGTAACTTCAGACAACTACAGACACCTGCC